AAAAAAGAGTTGCCTTAAATAGGTAAAATATTGAGTTACCTGGGTGTCCACAAGTGTCAACATTAGGTACTTTAAAAGAAAGTATACATTTCTCTTCTGGACCCACTAATGTTCATACCAAAGATTTATTGTCATGTCACATTACCGAAAATAAACTCCGGCGTTTCATGTGAAAAACACAAAAAACACTACTGTCGAATTCAATCTTGCATGTAGCTGGTTACTAATCACCAAACGTATACTTTCTAATTAACCTTACAGTTGCAAAATCATTACCCGGAGAGAAGTTGGTGCAAGAGGAACAGAGTTATAGCTTAAGCTAGAAAAAAATCAGATGGCAACAAACAACTTTTACAGATATCACAAATAACAAGTTACAAGGGCAACAAATTTTAGCGGCCTAAATTACGTCGAAAAATAAATGTCACACCTAGAAGTTCAAATGCCAGTATTGCAACTTAGCAGAATAATCAATGAATGACCACATAAGGTATGCAGCATGTGAAGTTGATTATGGAGGCATTGAGGTCAAAGATGTTAGTTACAACCAAGGAGGGGTAAAAAGGTCAATGTACAAGAAGAGAGTAGTTCAAGCATTGAAAAACAGGTGACTGTATTAGATTGAGAGCCCATTAAAACCAAATAAATGCAAGAGTAATTGAGACGGTTGAGAGGGAATAAGGAGGCTATTGCGTCAATATGATAAATACAAACTGAATACTTTGTGATATAGTTATCATTATCTTCTTCATATTCTACGTTTAGTATTTGTTTCTTTCTTTCTTTTTTTCCCTGGCAATCTACCTCACCTTTCCTTGTCGCTTTATAATACGTACTCTCCTAGTGAATTCTATTTACTTCCCTATTATCTCAAGTCTTAAGTAATCGTTTGACTCGGCTCACGTTACCTCTCTTAAATTCTTTTTCCTCGGTCAAACCTGTGATTTTCTTAGACAAGAAGGAAATGAATGATAATGGAAAGATAGCTTTCTTTAACATTAAGCATTCATTTCACATAAAGTTTGAACAATTAACGCCTCTGTCCTCCACTCCAAATTTCTCCCACTTCAAGCAACTTAAGTCCCAAAATGTGGGCATTGGTGCTATGTCCCGGTACAGCTAAAGAGTTGTAGGCTATAAAGCATGATGCCCGAAAATGTGGCGACGGCCTAACAAACATAATATATGTACCTTAAATATGTTGCAAGAATATTAAACATATACTGCAAGTTTCCCTATCCCTTTCCGTACCTAATAAAAGTAAAACCTAGTGATTGGGTTTCGTAAAAAATAAATTTAAGACAAAAAAAAAAAAGGAAGGGTGATGCTCTTGCACTTCGCACTTTTGTTAGAGGACAATCTCAATGCATATACTAACCCAACTTGGCAACTTCATACTCAAACATTAATTTCAGAATCACCTTGTCATTCTTTGGCTAAACTTGAACCAGATGCATGCATCAAAAACATCAAGTTTTTCAAATCAACTAATAACCCATAATTTACATTTATGAGCTTTGCCAACTTGAATAAATCAAGAAACTATAAATTGCAGCAACTTCTGTTATATTACCTAATTATGAACCTCAAATCATCTTTACATTATTGATGCCCAGTAACTACCTTAACTCCCTCTTTAGTACAAAGATTTTGGTGAGAACATGAAAGCAAGTAATCGAGAATACTAATTTTGTTTGGTTGGGTGCTGGGGAAGGAAAACGAAACGAATTTATAATTTTATTTCACGTTGCTTTCCTTTGATCACCAAAATCATCTAACCAAATGAGTGATCAGTGATTCAGTGTAGTGACTAGTGCCAAAGTTAACAGTTGACATTACAGATAAGCAGTTGTGTATAAATTACAGGTGAACGAACACCTTGAACACACACAATGGAACTTTTAGACTTCTCCCAACAGAGTTATTTCCACTCGATACACAGCAAAATTCCAAATTCATTGGCCCTCAACTTTCCGATATCTTTAAATTGCAGAGAAGCCTAACATGGAACTATATTGGTTTCACCATAAATAACATAAGGNAAAAAAAAAAAAAAAAAAAATCAATGCGGTATAATATAATTATAGTAGCCCAAACTTAAATAATACAAAGCACAAGGTTAAAGAAGTTGAGTAGCATACCTTATAAGATGGATTAGTCCTTTCACTTGGGAGAATGAACCCACTTTCGGCTCCTTTTCATAATTTTAATATTTGAAATACCCAAGAAACGGCATAATGCTTTCCCTCAATATATTTATGTTTTGGTTCCGATACTTCTAGCCAAAATTGGTCTGCAATTAACGGGGTCAACTGAAAACCTTGGTATTTTGATAAAATAACAACTTCGTAAATTCCTTAACAAGAAACTTCACCTGCAGATAGAAGAAAATCGTGCAAAGCGATGAACAGCATGCATTCGTAAGTGTTAGAGGACCATTGGACAAAATTAACCGAGTGGAAACGAACCCGACCACTCCATGACAACTCCCCTAATGCAACAATATCCAACCCCCACCCTGACCACTCCATGACAACTGTACTAATTATTTTCTGGATAATAGAAGGGATTTAGTATTTGAATTTCTATATGGGCAGTTTCTTTCCAGCATATCATATAAAGTTTTAACAATCAAATAAGAAATGATACAAAATATACAAGCAAAAATAATTTAATGTTGGTTACAAAAGAAAAATTGGGCTAGTCAGTTGTCAATTGGCAAGCATATTCTGCACATCCTATGTCACCCATACCTTTTACCACTGTATTTGCGAATATCCACATAATATGTTATCACCAAGATTCCAACACTACCAATATGCTTTCCAAAACTGGAAATAGAATCCACAATTTAACCATTTATCACCCAATTTCAGTTTCTTTAGCTAATAAGCTTTATGACTATTCAATTGTGTTCCACAGAAGGTGATGCTTAAGGATATCATTTACCTGATTGCCATTTGTACCTTTTACAATCTGAAACACATGGAAAGCATATTTTCCACAAAAAATGAATTATATTAAGGTCAACTGGCAAAGTTAAAATTAGTATGAATGATGATAAAGAGATAGTGATGAAACAGCATTTAACCAAAAAGTAATAACAATTAGATACCAAAACAACTTTGTTGCTCAAACAAAGAGATGTTACATACAGAATCAGGATCAGTTTTAGACCTCAAAAGAACTAGCCCCACTAGTGTAGGAAGTTGGCATTACACATTTTAACTACATCCACATCTAAGCAATCTACCAAATATATGTCAACATAGACTTCTAGATATTTTTCTTACATATGTGAATACATTAGCAGTTAGACCATGAGCAACTTAGACTCGTGGCAAATCATGTCATAGCCTCCAAACATGACCAAAATAATCACAACTGCCGGTACCTGAATAAGAATTTGGAATGATAACTTCGGAAGCATTTCTCAAAAGACTGGACTACAAAAAGTATGATAATGAGACCACTGAGGAAGAACAGAAGCATTTATCGACGAGAAAGCTGCTCGAGAATCAAGCTAATTCAATTCTCCCCACCCACTACTGCTTCTGATATATTTATCAACGATGCCAAATTCGTCATTCTGAGCAAGTCTCCGAGAATAATTCTCAGTTGATATAAGGCCCCTTTTCAATCTCCTGTAGAATATCATCTCCCAAGGCCATAAGCGTGCAGAACCAAAGTACGTCTCGACAGATAAATCCTTTTCTTTTTCATCAGGGTACTGCAGGCCGTAGTGTCCCAGAACCATGCACATTTCCTCTGAAGACATTCTTGCACGACTCCGAGCATCAGACCTCACAGAAACAACATCAGACTCCCGCGCCAGCATGTCTTTTCCCACAAAATCCTCATTTTGTGAATCATTTATCTCTTCCACACCGTGCAGAGACAAATTATCAATATTACGGACATCGCCAACTGATTTTGGCACATCTGACTCCAAAAGGTCATGCGAGCCTCTGGAGACAAATTCACCATCCTCGGATAGACCTTTCGTCATATTCTCCTCTTCCAGTTTGGTAAGTCCCGTCTCAAATTCACCTTCTACTGCAGATGCGATATTTTCAGCTCCAAATGCACCCGCCTCCTCTTCAGACAGGTCCTCACTGTGGCCTGGACTAACAGCATTTGCCACAGACGTTTTGAAATCCTTTTTTCTTTCGCTTGAAGAGGGAGATATTGACCTCAATGTGGACTGTGACTTAGAGGTCTTGGTTCCAGAATGCCATGAAGGTGAGGACCTCGGAGAAGAATACTGGGATACATTCTTTGAAGACACCGATTTCGACCTGGATGGTGATGGGGACCGAGATAATGCCCTTGACAATGGTCTGGAAGTTGATTGAGATCTGAAGGAATTATGGTCAGAGTGAATTGCAGAAGATGATGGCCCTTTTTCTCCCTCCGGATAATTTACATCCCGACTATCGTAACCCCTCCAATTTCTTTTCTTGTCCCTGAACCCTTTACTAGGGTCCGGCCTTCCAGGGGAATCCTTTTCAGACATCCAGTCGTGTGACTTTCCTTTTTTCTCCCTGGACATCCTAACAGATGGTGAATGGGCCAAAGGGGATATGCATTCACGCTCGTCCAATTCCCTTCTGCTGTCGCTGTCATGAGGCTCATACCGGTCAAATTCCAAGCCATTATCCACGTCTTTTCCATTAGTGGGGCCCACAACCTGCTCCCCCCATCTACCACCCTCAACGTGCTTACGATCATTAGGATGTGTTTGGTCACTTCCTCTCTCATAAAGGTTGGAACGATATGGTTGGTGGCTGATTGGTCCATCGACCATGATAGAGGAACCGAGCCTTCGAAATTTCTTGAGATCCATCCCATGATCCCATGGATTGATGGAAGCAACATTTCCATGTGGTTTTTCTTTCAGGGAGTAATTCCCTCTGCTTGGCGGTTTGTACAACTTGCCGCGCCTCGAGGGTCTCGGAGGAGCACGAGGCTGCATTTTGGCCCATGATAGAGTAATAGCCTCCCCACAAACTCTCATGCCTTTCAGTGTTTTCAGAGCCTTTTCAGCAGATGCAGGGTAATCGTAAAACACAAACCCGTATTTTTCCTTCACCTGCACAGTGCACCTTCCAAACCTCCGGAAAACGCGCTCGAGTTCATCAACACGAACGTGGGACGACAGATTTCCAATATGTAGTGCCATCTGCAAGACAATAGAAAGAAACTATCTAAGTAACATAATATGAAACCTTAAAACCTAGGCCACGTGAACAAATACAATTTTATTACAATAAATGTATATACATCAGCATATATTACGTGTGCAAAGAAACATACGTAAGGAACACATTTCAAGTTTCAATCTTAATAGCGCACCAGATTTTTGAAAACATCGGTAATATGATTCAGGAATAAAGGACTGCAGGTCAGAGAATCCATTTTTACAGTAAAGAATTTCCACGTATTTTTTGTTTTATGAAAGGAATAACTAAGCTAGGAACAAATCATTACGCACAATCCCATTAACCTGAGCCACAGGAAATTTTGAAACGGCAGAATAGAATGAACAGTCCATACTTCCTCTGGTTATGCCATAACCATAATCATTTCTTTTAACGAGTCGATAAACCAAGCCAACACGCCATAAACTCTTTCTAGTGAAATCCAAGCTTAAATATGACCTAGAAACTCAACGTAATACCAACATACATATTTACTTGGAAAATTTCCCATCATCAGTCGTGTTATCAGACCTAAAATACTGAATAACACTAATAACACCTGAGGTGGAGCCCTAGCATAAAATCAAAACCCCGTTCTAGTGAGATTACATAACGATATGAACAAATGTGTACAAAAGTAATATGTACAAAACGATATGAACAAATGTTGTTCCAACGGCGACAGTCGGAGTGAGACTACATACAGATGACGCCGATCGGTGGCTATCAGCTGTCGCAGCCGCGTGTGGAGACAACTGGGGTTTGTGTACGCTGGGCGGGGAGCTTGCTAGATCAACGCTTTTTATCAGCTCGCATTTCCGCGTCTTTTCTTATTCTTCGGTACGACATTTTAAGCAATTAGGTCATTATCTTTTAGGTCCCCCAATATTTGTCAAATTGGACTAAGGCCCACAATAATTTAAGTTGTGTTTGGTAAGCATATAAGTGAACTTATAACTTATTTGATTAGATTATGAGGTTGTTATCAGCTATAAACTCAAAAGTCACTTAAAAATTATAAGCTAGCTTATCAACTATATTTTCGTTCAACAAAGGTAGCATGTTTCAAAATATTGATTTTATCTCTATACTCATCCTTCACTTTCATTTATATCAGTTAGTTTTACCAAATATATCCTTGAATTATAAATATATTTTAAAGTTAATAACTTTTGTATTTTGTTATCAGTTTTTCATATACAACATATCAAATTAATTATCTTTTGACGAGTTTTGAATTGATCACCATATCGCATATTTAAAAATAAACAATTGATTTATTTTGTTTTTATTATAAATTTAAATTATATATTAATACTAATTAAAAATTAATAAAGTTATACATTAATTTAAAAAGTTAAATATGAGTTCATTACATATGAATTAGAAAATATATTATAATATAACACGGACAATTAGTGCAAGTAAAAAGTTTCATATTAATTTGAATAATAATGCAATTTTTAAAAGTATTGAAAAAAATTTTTAAAAAAAAGTTCTTATGCAAATGTTTGAAGATTTTTGTTATAATTTTTTTAACTGGCACACATGTAACCGCGAGTGTTATAGTTAAGTTGATGCGGTTCAGTGCATATTCACACCAAACCAAACAAAATTGAAAACTAAATTTATGAATAATAATAATCAAATCGCACCGTAGTGTAAGGAAAATCGAATGGAAATTTTTTTAGATTAACTTTTTTTTTTTCCAAGTGAAAGGGATCTCAATTCATAGAACAAAACCAAGAACAAAGTTCATGAATACAATGCAAAGGGCAGACCCTCAACAAAAAACATTCGAGAACAATGGGAGGTCCATAAAACATTTATGGCCTAGAGACACTACCAACAAAAACAGGAAACAAAAACACAGCTAAAAAAAACTAAAAACACAACACTACTAACAAATAAAACACAGCTAAATAAAACACAATTAGAGAAAACTAAAACTACAGGAGACTTAGGATGCAGACCACTGTCCATACGACCTAGAGAGATCCAACATCAACCCCAATACAGAAAATCACCCTTTGATGTTGACCGCACGTCGCAACGCGGCAAAATTATAATTTATATATTCCTTAACTTACTTCTACCAACTAGTAGTAGTAGTGAGCAAGGGTCGAACCCACAAAGAGTGTGAATTAAATTGTGAATTTTCTTGTATTAATTGAAATTATAAAAACAATAAAAAGGGGGGTTGGATTTAATAATTAAACTAACTAAAATCCTAATAAAGCAAATAATATCTAAACAATGAAAATAAAAATAAAAATAAATAAATGAAGAGAACTTTCTAGTTCACGGTTCCGTCTACACCCTCGACTGACCCGTCTAATCAACTTTGGAATCGAATCTCGCTATCTTATGAATTACTATCCCTAGGCATTGACACGATCTGTTACCCGAATTTTTCTTTAATTTTAATTCAACCGCGAGACGCTCTACGATTAAACCTGACTTCTTGTACAGTCCAGAAAAACGTTTTCAAGATTTAATACAATCAACCGCTTTACGAATTAGAAAAATAGGCTAGACTAAGTAGTGAACTCAACCGCGTTCGTTCACTTAAATTGGCCGTGTTATCCCCGGTAGTTACCGTCTTCCGGTAGCCTCTAATGAATTAAACACAACAACAATTACGGATTGAAGGTCTAATTCAGCTGTAGATATGAAAAGCCTAATCTAGGTGATCAATTTAAAAAAAGACTAACACATCATGATTAATTATTTAAAATAACACAAACAAATCCAAAAAGATATTAAAATTTTTAACCATATAAATTAATCAAAACATCGTCAATCATAGGGTTCGACTTCCCCGAAACTAGAAATAAATTAACCTAACATAATAATAAAAGTAAATAATAAAAGAGAAAAGAGAGAGAATAAAATTCTCCCTCGTGTGCGGGTGCGGTCTCCCTCCGCAATTGATCGGTTTCCTCGCATTTGTCCTACGCTCGCGACTCTGTTTTCTGTTCTCTGTCTGCGTGAGGGTTTTTTGCTGCGTGAGTATGTCTTCTGGCTGCGTGAATAATATCTTTGTGGCTGCTTGCGTTTTGTCTTAAATAAATGTTGGTGCCTTTCTCCAATCCCAAATAATTCCTCCCCAGCAATACTACATAATTCATTGGGCTTTAATTCCCAAAATCTCCAACCACTAGCGTGAGTATTGTTTCAATTTAATTTGTGAGTGCCCGCTGCTTGAGACTTTCTCCCAGCCCAAATAAATTATTTTCTCCTCCCAGCAATTAATTTCCTCTTAATCAACGTGAGTTTGGCTTTATAAAATTGAAACTCCTCCACGTCAGCCCAATCGCGTGGCCCATCTCATCATCCATAAAAATACTCCAATATCCTAAAAATAAAACATAAAAATATCATAGCACTTGGATCCATCTAATAAATAAATGAGTCAAAAAATATATAAGTGCGATAAAATTAAGCATATAAAAATACGCTAATAAATATATAAAATAACACACTTTCTCGACTAATCAGATGTTGCGAAACTCCAGCCAAGCCTTCACTGCAAATTTGACAGTATAGAGCTCTGGAGTCCATGACTTGTTAAATATCCACAAGTTGCGTGATTTTCAAATCCACCATAGTAGTTATGTAGAAAGTTGGATTCGATCCTCATTTATTTCCTTATGGTTCATAGAGCAAATTTCCCACCACCAATCATTAAACGTACCTTGAGGATTCAAGTGGCTGTCCAGTGAAGAGGGGCTAGGTCCCATATTTTCCTTGCTTTCCCCCACTGCCAGAAAAGATGTTCGACGGTTTCTTTGTTTTCTCCGCATCCATTGCAAATGGTATCCACGTCAACACCTCGTTTTTTCAGATTCACACTTACAGGCAGGCCACCCGAGAAACAACGCCAAATAAAATGCTTAATTTTGTTCTGAATTTTTAGATTAACTTAGTCGAACCGAATCACACCGAATTGCATAGTTTGACTTTGCTTTTCGATTTCAGCTCGATTTTGTTCAATCTAGCATGGCCCTCATGGATAGGTCGAATATTATTTTATTTTTACAGTAGAACCTCTATAAATTAATACTCGGTAAATTAATAATCTCTCTAAAATAATATCTTTTCCCGGTCAGGACTTGGGTCAATGTAAAAAATTGTAAATTTTAATAAAATAATCAGATAATAATTTTTAGAAAGACCCATTTATAACTATATAGTCCCATCAAAATCATAAATCAATAATCATCTAAAATTACAAATATAATTAAGGCAATTTAGTAAAATATGAATCTATTGTTATTTATTTTTTTCATGAAACTTAACTAAATTGATTTCATCCTTAATTTTTCTCATTGCATTCAAAAGCTTAGGTGTCATAGTCTCAAGATGCAACAAAAAGTTGTGAATAGTTGTGGTTGTCATAAGTGCTTCATTTCGTGTGATTGGTTCCAAGGTACTGAATCATCAACTTCATCCTCAACAGAATTTTCAATGACACTATCCACATTTTTTTCTAAGCTTTGGACAGGGCCGTCTCCAGAAATTTGGAGGCCCCAGACAATTTTCTCAAGAGTTGCCCGCAATTCTATTTTTATTTTTTTATTTGAACAAATAATAACAAGCATTGCCAATAATAAATACGAAAATACGATGAATATGAAAAATATAAGTAAATTAAAATATAAATAATTTTAAATTAAAAAATTAATGATTACTATACATGTATATTAATATAATTTATTTTCATTTATTCACTTATTAATAACAAATAGTTCATATTTGATTATCTATAATTAATTATTAACTCACTTATTAATAACAGATAGTTCTTATTTTTTTTATTTATAATTAATTATTATTTTTATATAAAGCAAGATAAACTAATTGAAATAAAATTAGTATCTAAATGGAAGTGTAAATGGAATTTGGGCCCAACTAACATAATAAAATATAGATAGAAGTATAAATGTATGTAAATGGAATTTGGGCCCAGCCAACATAATAAAAAAAAAGCCCAACACAAAGCATAAAATATAGATATATATATGTATGAGGAGGCCCCTAAAAAATTGTGGCCTTAGGCTCCTGCCTGGCCCAAGAGCCTGCTTTGGCTTTGGACCTCTAAACATCTATCATGTTCACATGGATAATCTAATAAGTGATATACAGCCTGCTCTGGCTTTGGACCTCTAAACATCTATCATGTTCACATGGATAATCTAATAAGTGATATACATCCATTTTGTCGTGGTAACACAAATCATTAATCATTTTCTCAAGTTCACAAATGTTTTTTTAAAAAGTCACTTCCTTAGAGCTACTTAAGGTTATTTCATCCCCCGAACAAATTTTACAATAATGTCGGAAACAAGTCTACTTGTTCACCAAGTACAAACTACACTTGCCAAAATTTATATTTGCTAAATAGCACTCTTTAAATTAATAAATATTAATTTATTGATTAATTAATATTTTTCTAAGTAAATAAAATTTTAGGTCCCAACATTATTAATTTATAGATGTATTTGGTTGGATTTTCTATATCATTTTCCTCTCAAGAAAAAATAATAAAATGATTATTTTATTCGCACTCTCTATCATTTCCTCAAACCCTTTTAAGCCCTTCTCATCCTTTGCGTTCATCTTCTACATATTCCCTGTCGACTCCAAATTCATCTCCATTTCCGATCGAATTCGATCAATATACCTAACCGGTTTTTCATATTTTTCACCATGACTCTCGGCTCAGGAGGATCTAGCATCGTGGGTAAAATTATACTCTCATTGATACATTTCGTTTTGTTTCATGTTTTCATCTTTCCGGTCGGTGATGTTTTGCCGGATTTATTTCTCCTTTTGATGTGTAAAAGAATGAATCGGGTTAATATCTGAGTGTGGAATCGTGATGAGTTGATGGCGATCGGTTGTTGGATCTTTCTCTGTTGTGTTTTTTTAGTGTTAGTCTGAAAATTTTGTGTAGTTTCTTGTGGGAAATGTTAATTGGAGAGCACAGTTGTGAAGTTCTGATGTAAAGATTTAACTACGTAATTGATTCTGTTGTGAATTGATGGTGTATCATGTATGGTAGAGTTCTGGGTTATTGTCAAGTCGAATAAAAGAAACTAATCCGAGAGTTTTCGTAGTTTAATTATGTATTATGCGAGTGAAATGGTGTTAAAAGACATTTAGAAGATTTAAGGTTGTGATTTGTGCAATGGGTTTTGATACCTGGTAGTTTATGGACTTGGAGAAAGTATGATGACTAGTCTAATTTGTTCTTCGGTCCTTTTCCATGTCATTCGATGAATTAACTGCCCATTAGACTACTAATTAATCTTATGAAACTTATGATATCATTTTCACTTGTGATGCTTCAAGTTATAAATATTAAATCCTCGAACATCTGTGAAATGCCGATAATGCAACTCTTGTTACCTCGTCTATTTTCCATTTTGCGTATTGTGAGAGAATGAATGTGTTTGTACTTGTGAAAACATTTGATTGGAGTGCTTTACATATTGCAGTACCTCGAAATTTTAGATTGCTTGAGGAGCTTGAACGTGGAGAAAAGGGAATCGGGGATGGTACTGTGAGCTATGGAATGGATGATGGAGATGATATTTACATGCGCTCTTGGACTGGCACCATCATAGGTCCACACAATGTGAGCTTCTGGCCCGTATTACACTAATTCATTTTGATGTGGAAGATAATTCACGAATAGCTTGCCTTGTATTGGTGCAGAAAAAACCTGTCAAATATTTTATATGATTTATGTCTGTATGCATGCATATATTTGGATGAGACTGCGTGAAGTAGATTGAAATCGTAAGTTGATACACGATTGATGTTCACCTTCAGGAACCTTTTAATAACTCTTGGTGCTGCTGCCTAATGATATCTCTATTTTAAAAGCATGAAATTAATGTTTGTACCAACCATAACATCTGCAATTTTGATGGAATATAAAAATCAATTTTACACTGTTAGCTACTGATTTGTTACCATTGTTTTCTATTATCTGACAATATTGTTTTGCTGTAACGACTTACTAAAAGAACAGAATTGAGAATACATATTTTCCTTTTTCCTGTCAGTCTGTACATGAAGGGCGCATATATCAGTTGAAGCTGTTCTGTGACAAAGATTACCCGGAGAAGCCTCCCAGTGTCCGATTCCATTCACGAGTAAACATGACTTGCGTAAACCATGAAACTGGAGTGGTACGAATATAATGACCTCAAGGTTAAGTTGAACCGTCATTTTTTGTTTGGAGGGACCCGCTGAACATTTTAAGATACAGATTTTCACAAAATATTTTGACATCTGGTATTCGTCACAGTAATTGAACTGATCACAGTAATTTCTGTTTGATGAGCGTGCTAATATTTACATGACATTCATAAATGTGTTCTTATGACACTGGCTATCAATGAATATGATACCTGATTGAAAACGTAGGAAAAGGAAGATAAGCTATTTCTTCTTTTAGTACGATTTGACGTTCTCCTGCATATTTACGGGAGTGAACGAGTTACACTGCTCGGAGACTAATGAAAAATTGTGCAATTTACTGGCAGGGATGGACTATTTTGGTAACATCTTCTCCAGTTAAAGATGTTTAATTTTTTTATTCTTTTCTTTTTATCTGAGTTAATTACAAGGAAAACAGAGTAAAGGGATTCTAGTCGTACCAGGGTAACTAACTGTTAGGTACACACCATAACTTGCAAGATGTTGGGAGTTTTTCATAATTAGGATAAACTTCATGGATAGTCTAATCTGTAAACCAAGAGATGGATACTTGTAAATCTTTCAGAAAATCTATGCATCAATTGATTTACTGTTTTCACGATCAGGTGGAACCTAAAAAGTTCGGGCTTCTTGCCAACTGGCAGCGAGAGTACACAATGGAGGATATACTGACACAACTCAAGAAAGAAATGGCTGCCCCGAACAACCGTAAGCTCGTCCAGCCTCCTGAAGGGACCTATTTCTAGTGTAAAAAAGACAAATTTGAGGGTCGTATTGACCTCATGATATAAGATTTTATAGCTTTCGTATTGTGCTAAGATGTAAGTTGCATGGGGAATGAACGTTCCGGATAACTCTTTTCTCCCATTTTCAACTCCTTTATGTTGTGTTTTGTTATTCCGCCGATGTTCTCCTGCAAGACTGTGTTGGGAAAGTTTGTTGATGGGATTTTCTTGTGTGTGACAAACCTTTGGGACTTGTTCTTGTTGATATTATAGTATTTTGTGTTCAAATTGGGAGTGGTGTAGTGTGATTTAGGGTTGAATGCAGGAACTGTTGAGGACTCACTCACTCGAAATATGAAATATCATTCTAGTGAAATATGAAAACTTCAACCTCGAATATTTAACCTACTGGAATATTCTTTTTTAGTCTTAAATTTTGGTTATATCAGTTTAGTTTCGGTTTTATTTTAAAATAACCAAACTATATAATTTTTTTTATATATAAATACTAAATATATTTATAAATTATAATTTATTGAAAAATGATACATTGTCAATTTAGTATAGAACTAGGTTGACAACAAAAGTGAAAATATAAAAAAAATACACAAGTAGATGTTTTCACTTGTATTGTCAATCTAATTGTACACTGGGTTGTTAATGTAGCATTTTCTTAATTTATTTCATTTATTTTGAGTAATTTGATTGACCGACCGAATAAACTGACTATTTTGGTTTGATTCTAGTTCGGTTTGAGACAATTGTCCGTTCGGTTTTATCAAAAATTTGGCTCTATTATTTCGGTTCTGACAATTTGGCCCGTCGGTTTGGCAGTCTAGCTGTAAGTAGTGACAATGTACCTTAAATTTTTACAATATTTCACTTTCGCCGTTACATGTAATTTCATTTAATTCATTCTTTCAAGTTTCAAGGACCATAGGAATGTTTAGAACCAAGACAAAAACTTTTCATGGGTTAGAATAAAATGCAGATCAATTGGTCAGATTTCAAGAACAAATGTAGCCCACGCTTACTTAAGAGCTATTGATTGCATCTATAGACAACTACTAGTCGATGCAAATAAAATACTATATATTATTTATGTATATAATATTTAAAGTTATAAGTAAGTTAATGAGTATATCACATTGTAAAACTTGACAATTTACAAAAATTAACAATATACATATAAATTGTAAAATATGTGTCACTATATTTATGATATAAGTTGTTATAAATAATGTAATTTTGAGATATTGTGACAAACTAATTGACGGAAATTATTAGTTATCATTATTATTTGTTCTACATTTCGTTTGTGAAAACATTCAAATACTTCTCGCACGGTCAATAGTTTGTGGACATTTTTTGTCTTATTGAATAAGTAAAAATGAAAAAGTGGGAAAGTTATTATTGTAAAAATAAGTAAGGTAAATTTGATATGATGAATAAATATAAGATTAAAATGAAACGGCTAAAGTTAAAATACATTACAAAAATAAAATATTGATAATAAGATTGATATTTTAAAAATGTATGAGCGTGTACATAATTTATTATTCTAAAAATATAATAATAATTAGTTTTATGTTTTAGTTATAAAAAAAAACTATATAATAAGAGTAAGATGGAAGTAATATTATTTTTTTTCAAAGTATTTTATTTTATTTTCAATTTCAATGACAAATCTAGGTTGACAAAACAAAAGCATATTCTATCCAATCACAACGTACCTATATGTGTACAGTGAAACTGAGAAAGCAAAAAAAAATAAAAACAAAAAAATTCAAAAGGGTAATAGCGTCCCCACTCTCTGACCCAATAGTATCTCCACGTTTCCATAAAAGCGCTTTTTGCACTCACACGTCACTCACAAACACACACACACACACACACACACACACTCGCGCAGTTAAAAAAACACCCCCAATTTATGATATTAATAAATCATTTCCCCTCAAACCCTAGCTTTTCCCCCAAATCCAACAAATCGCCATCCATCGCTTTCGATCTGAATGCCCTCTCCATGGCCACCGCCATCCCCCCCGACAAGCCGCCGCCATACTCCGCCGCCTCTCCTCCTCCGTCGCCCCCGCTCCTAGCCGATCCCGTCCGCTCCAAAGTACCGGTCTTGATCCGATCCGTCTGGTCGGAGAATTTGGACCACGAATTCTCCCTCATCCGCGACCTCGTCGACCGGTTCCCCTTCGTCTCCATGGACACGGAGTTTCCCGGCGTCGTCTTCCGCCCCTACCAGCACTACTCCGACCCGCGCGAGCACTACCAGACCCTCAAGTCCAACGTGGACGCGCTCAAGCTGATCCAGGTGGGGATCACTCTCTCCGACGCGTCCGGGAACCTCCCGGACCTCGGCTGCCCTGACCGCCGCTTCATATGGGAGTTCAATTTCTGCGACTTTGACATCTCGAGTGACGACCACGCGCCAAACTCTATTGACCTCCTCCGCAACCAGGGCATCGATTTTGAGCAGACCCGAAAGTTTGGGGTGGCCGCCGCCAGGTTTGCCGAGCTCATGGTGTCGTCCGGCCTTGTGTGCAATGACGAAGTCACCTACATAACATTTCACAGTGGCTACGACTTTGGTTACCTCATCAAGGCCATCACTGGGAAGGCTCTTCCCGGGAGCCTTAGGGATTTTCTGAATCTGCTGAAGGTCTTCTTTGGGGACCATGTTTATGATGTTAAGCATCTGATAAGGTTCTGCCAGGGGCTGTATGGTGGATTGGACAGGGTGGCGAAGTCCCTTGGTGTGGAGCGTGTTGCTGGCAAGTGTCACCAGGCGGGGTCAGATAGCCTGCTGACCTGGCACGCGTTCGAGAAAATTAGGGCTGTGTACTTTGGCAAGGGTGAGAAGGAGAAGGGTTTGCTGAACAAGTATGCTGGTGTCCTCTATGGGTTAGAAATCCATGATCCTTAAGTAGCTTCTGTACTCTAGATGTGCTGAAGCCGTTGGTAAAAAGTGTTTGGTACTTGGTTTCTATTGGCTTTGTTTCCCCCGTTCTCTGTACAATCCGTCTCCCATAATATCAAAAGCCAATATCCAGTTTGAATATATTTGTGTCTTTGTTTCTATTTTTATATTTTTGAATGTTTTTGTTGCAAGTATATGGCATATTGACACACACACACACACACGCACATACTCATGATGGTGCAAACTATGATTGAATGTTCATGTTCTGTCCAAGTTAGGAAACGGGAAATGAATGTTGTTAGAATTGCAGGATCATGTGAGGAATGTGTTGGGTGATTTCAAGGGTGGGATTTATGTCAGAGTGGTGTTGATGATAAAAGACTTGTTTTTTAGTATAATAATGTGTGTTTGAATCTCCAATGCTTGTGAAGATATTGGTGATTGCTGATTGGTAAATGCAGCTTAATAATGCTACCTGCATTTGATGAGGTGTGGCAACATAGTGCTTTGCCTATTTGTGTAATAACATAGCTGTCTTGTTTCTTAGGTGGTTTGACACTTGAACACGATAGTCACAGATTTTGCTATGGTAAAATGTAGTGACCAGACTTGGTTGTAAAATTTCAAGGATGAAGCTCGGTCCACTTATTAATTGCTTTCGAACGTATTGGCATATGAGGCTTTTGGTGGTGCTTTAAATATAGGGGATTCTAGTGCAACCTTGCCAATAGTTAGATGAAGGGCTTTGTAGGCATCGAAGAGAAACATATAAGGAAGGGTTTAAGTTTACATTCCCAAGAGAAGGCTCCTATTGCTTATATGGGTTACATGATTTGACAACTGCTCAAGTAGCCTCTGACTTAAGGCTTAAGCATTGGGGAAAACCATGGACCCTCCCGATGATTCATAGTGCTTTATTAAAGTGGGAGTACAAGGATCTTGTTTGAAAAATAGACTGGAGGGTCATAAGAAGGATGAGTGACTGGGTGTTCCTTTAACTCTTATAGTTAAAATTTCTGTCTCTATTATTATGTTATCTGCACCCCTAACTGAATATCCTTGATTATTTAGGTTGGTCTTCCAACTAATTGACGTACATTAAGGTAAACCTGCACTCAATCACAATGCTTTGCTTGATCCTTGCATGTTGCCCTTTCTGTTTACCCATTTCTCAACGATTATCTGTCAGACATAGACGAGCTAGTATTGAATGGTTTTGATATAAAGAGTTCTGATAATGGGGTGAAATAAAATTTGAGAGTGGCATATCTATGTTGGGTCTCTCTCTCTCTCTCTCTCTCTCTCTCTCTCTCTCTCTCTCCCTCCCTACCTCCCTCTCTCCCTGCTTTATACTGGGTTCAATCAAGTTCCATAGGAATTTAGACTCCCACCCTGCCAGCCCCCTATAATGAATTAAACAAAAAATGGGAGTGGAGATGAATTCTGGATAATTCATACTTATTGCTCTTTGTGGTACCTTTATGTGCTAAAGATGGTTTTGGCTTAGACCTTAAATATTTTGATTTTGTTTTTCAAAATTATTTTCTTGCTCATAAACGACATTTTCCTCCTTATTTCAGAAAGCTTAAATCTTTAATTACTATGTCACATGTGTTGTAAACATTTTTTTTTAATTAAATCATGGGGTGTAATATTCTGTGTAAATAAGATATTCACAAAGTGAAAAATCTATTGTTCATGCTCTTTTCAACCCTGCATATCTTATGAAGAAAAGCATAGGATAATTCATGATTTTAACACGCAACAATTGTTTGATTGTTTTGGTTTTGATGGACTTACTCTACTACATGTGTTTCTTGATGTCCTATGCACTAGTGCTCTTTCTATAGACATTTTGTTCGCTGTACTTTATTCGGGTGAATCTGTGTTTATATGATGAATCTTTTGAACAATAGTCCATTGGTGCTTTTGATTTATATAAGAATAGCACACAAAAAAAAGTTTGTAACATTTCAATATTGCCATACGTGCGTATCTGTTGTACCGGAATCGGTGAACATATTCATGCCAACTTGCAGAATCATGTAGCAGATGAAATCGTGAAGTTATGTTACAGAGAGCTAGTGTATGAGACTTAAGTCTGAGGTTATTAAACAATACCGGGTAACCGGTAACCTTTTGATCTTCACTTTGGTGGAGAGATTGGCATTTGAATCGTTCAATATGCATGATTTTTTATATTAGTTTATGATTTGATGTGGATATGTTCTTGCTAAAATTGAACTATTGAGGATCGACATCTAATTCTTGATGATAAACCAATTTACTGATGATTTGTTAGATATATTTGTTGATGATGGCTCTTGCATATCTCTTATTTTGTTTATTTATTTACACATTGCACCTGAAGTGAATTTTCAGTTTCTTCTTCAAGGGCTAGCAGGTTAATTATTGTACTGTTCATGGTTTTATAGTCCATTTCATTGGATCTGTTGAGTTGATTGCCCTTAATTCTACCCTGAGATTGCTGCTTTATGAACTCATATCATACAGGAAATGATAGTTGGCCTGGCAAAAAACACTTTAGTAGTACTCCTCATTTGTTGCTTATACTTTTCAAAGTTCTTTTAGGGCGTGTTTTGGATACAAATATATTAGCTCAAAAACATTTTTTTTTTTGTTAACTCGACTTAATTTTGAAAAATGTGGTATTATTGGCATTTTGAGTTTACATTAAAATAATATTTAAAATAAAATAATTAAAGTTGATTTGATGTAAAAGTATGACAGAGATGATGTGAGGTGATGATTAATTTAAATGATGTGAGTAGATGAATAGTGAATTAAAGTTGATATGATACGTAATAATGATTGATTGATATTATTTGATATTATTTAATGATAGTGATAATATTGAGTACAGTGGGTTGAGTTAAATTTTGAGTATTGATTGAATATAACTTGAATTTATTTTGAATATGTATCAACGTAAGACTCTCTTATAGGAGTCGACTCGTGAAAGGTAACCGAAGGTCCGAAGCTTTTATATCACAACCTTAATTCTCCATGACTTTGTAGAACCATGGGAACTTGGTTGGGAGCTTTATCATGACAAAAGAGATATTTGTTTAAGAAGACGAACATAACATAATTTACAAGTATTAAATTTTACATTCAGAGGGTACCATGTTTTGGATGATTTGCTTTTTGGCCCCACATTCATCTTCTCATTTGATGTAAATTTGGAGCAGAAAACCTGACAGTTGGTGGGCTGGAAAAGGACCATCGCCATTTCTTTTCAATATCGTCCTTTGTGTTTTTAAGATACACAAAAAGGAACCAAGATTCTAGGTAACTTTCAAAGAGCCCCACTCGTCACATGTCATCGTTTTTCATATGATGTTTTTATGTAGGAGATAGGTACCCTCTCGATATTCAAGCCCATGGCATTATAGTTGTGTTTAAAAGTAAATAATGGTAATTGAAAAAAAAAAGTTATAAAATTAATGTTGTTAGATTATCTAAACGTTAGACAATCATACGTTCTTATAAAAATATAAATTGAAAAAAAAGTTATAAAATTAATGCTGTTAGATTATCTAAACGTTAGACAATCATACGTTCTTATAGAAATATACATATTTATACTATAAAATATCATATTTTCGTTATATTGTATTTAAAGTATGATATCTAAACATTATTTTGTTGGAAAATACAATCACTAAACAATAGGTGGCTGTTCACTGTTTGGAGCTGTCCAAATTTAAATATAAATAAATTTGTGCACAAACATTTATAAGTATCATTCACCATTCAATCTTACTTTTCACCGGCTATATGTGATATCGTGTTCATGCCTATATATGATTCTAACCTGGATAAGCTGATCTAAGAAGTTGTACTTTGAATTATATGGTCCAATTCTAGGCAGGCACAGAAAATTATTTAACTGGACCACTGTTTGTCATTGTCACTTTGTCACTGGTCCATATTTTGTCCATAATTAATTTTTAAGTCCTTCACTTTCATGCATATAATACATAGTATTTGGTTGTGTATTATTGAGATTAATTAAACTTTTCATCACCATTTATGACTGAAAAACTCAAATCCATGTACTAATCCATGTACAATTTGACTGAAAAACTCAAATCTGGCTGAAAATTTAAAGTGGTTTCATTAAAATTTGATTAATCAATAATTGTTCCAAGTTTCTTAAGAGGGGCTAGGCTAATTATTTTTAAATTCCCCCATGTATTTGTCTATTCTTTCAAAATCTTGGATGCATGATAGCTAGATTTATTTTGTTTTGCAGTTTGAGATGATTTGAAAAGGAGAAATATGCAAATTATTAATAATAATTAAAAAAAATAGAAATAATCCCTATCTTGGTGATCGAGATAGAAAACAACAGAATCCTAACATTCAATTTAACCAACTCCCCGGCATGGCCAATTTTAGCCTTTTATGAGAATTATATGCAGTGAGACTTTTCGATACTATTCAAGAGAACAATATTACACGTAGCAATAAAATCCTTTAAAACAAATTAAATTTCATTATTTAGTAACAACATTATTTAATAATATGCATGTGGTCACACACTCACACACATCTGATCTGCAAAAGAAAACTTCAGTTGTCCTAACTTAACAGCCACATTTATGATCTTTAAATGTTGATCGCCTCACATTTAAAGCCACCTAATGCATGAATTTAAACCTTTTTTTTTTCTTTTAAAAATAAATATAAAATAGTTAGTTTTTTATAAGAAAATCTTCAGTGATGCTTCATAACTAGTATTCGATTCTGTGCATTTGCACAGATGTAAATAAAGTATTATAAGTTATTTGTATGCATATAATATTAAAATTATAAGTTAGATAATGATATTATATTTTAAACATAAGGTATTATAAGTTATATTTATGCATATAATATTAAAATTATAAGTTAGGTAAATGTATTATATTTTAAAATTTGATCAATGGTTAAAATAAATAGTACATAACGATTTTATTGTATATGAATCACTATATTTATTGCATAAAATAAAATAAATAATGTATTTTTTGAAATTTTAAGGGACTATGACTAATTAATTAGCTAAAAAATATTAAATTTACTATAACAATTGCTTATGCGATTTTAAGGAATTTTACTATGCCATTAAAAAAAATTAATTTATTTAAAAAGTAATCGCTTAAGCAGATAAAGAAATATTATATTGATTTTATAATTAATTACTCGAACAAAAAGTTTTTACAATATAGTTTCTTATGTTTATGTAACTTTCACATATCATTTAGTGTTAAAATATAATTATTAATTGTAATAATAACTATTATATGATATAATTTCCAGAGCTGGTGAAATTATTTTGTATTGTTGTTAGTATATTTGTCCATGTTGTACATGTGCTGTATTTTCCATTTTTACCATGATTAATTATTGTAGTGATATCATCAAAAACACTAAATATTCCAAATAAACATTTATAAATTTTTTTTAAAAAATTTATATTCTGAATACATGTTTATGTAATCATGAGTTTTTATAATAAATAATTCATAATTAAGTTAGTATAGTAATAATTATATAAGAAATTAAAAAAATAAACATTTTTAGTTAATTAACCTAAATTGATATACTTAGATAAAATAGTGGTCATTAGTTTAGATTTTGTAACTGTCCAAAATTGATGTATTTTGTAAAAGTAACGGTTTTTGTATTTGAAAAGTTTGTATTATTTATTAGGTAAAATTTATTAGGTTTTATTTATGAAGTAAAATTAAATGAAAGGCTAGCATATATATATATATATATGTTGGACTATATTTTCAAAATTAAATAAATTAAGTACATATAATTTTTGAATTTCAACCTATCGGCCTATAGTGCAGTCATCAAATTAAATCTTCTGATTTGATATAAATTATCCAGTTATCATTAATCAAATAATTCTTTTAATTTAAAATTCAACTTAAATTTAACACAAACAAACTTTTTTAATAATATCGATATAATTAAATAATATCAATCAATTATTTTCACACATCACATCAATTTTAATTTACTATTCATCCACTCACATAATTTTAACTACCTATAATTTTTAATAACCTATCTTCTCATTTTGCATCACATCATATTTAATCATAATATTTTAAATATTATTTGAACACAAACTCAAAATCTCACTCGAACTAAACTTAATCAACTTTTTTAAAAAAAAATAAATTAACTTATTTTATTCAATAAACACAAAATAACTTATATTTAATTAGGCCACCGTTAGAACAACACAAATTCATAAATATTTTATATTGATCCAACGATAGAAAAGACCCGGCAACTGCATCACTCCTTAGAGCTTCAATACTCCAATGTAGTTGTAGTAAATTACACTATACATTAACAAATTTAACAATGTCTATACTTTTAATCATTCAATGCACAATGTCATCACAAATATAGTGATGATCTGAAGTGACATAATTAATGTCTAAAATGTAGTTCATCTACATTCTCTTTCACGGTATCCAACTAAGAGAGAGCGAGATAGAAATATTATTATCATTTTCAAAATATCTAATTATTTAATTTATTTATTTATTTATTTTTTTTTTTATGATCAAATGGACAATATTATGTTTGATTAGACCTTGCATTAAAGATAAATTTTTGCATTTAAAGTTATAACCTTAACAATTATATTACGTGTTTCACAATCTATTTAGTTAATTTACTTTTCTCAGCATTTATCAAAATTTATGTATAACATAACAATATATATGCATTGAAGATGCTCGACACAATTTCTTTCTGAATGTGTCAGTCACTGCTTGAAAATCTACCACTTACCTAAATCTTATTAAATACCACACCAACAAAATAAAACAAATAAAATTTCCTTATTATTTATTGTTACTTAAAAAAATTCAAGCAAAAATACCACTATTATAAACCTCATTTCTCCTCTCATTTCATTTCCAAAACAAAACCCCCCACAGAAAAACCATCACACCAATATGAAGCTTCCATTTCTCTTCAAATCCTCCGAAACAACCACCACCGCCGCCGCCGCCTCCTCCGCCCCTTCCTGGCGGTGGCCGGCCTGCGCCGCCCACCCCCGAACCCTCTCCTTCCGCTCCGAAGCCGCTGGAGACCGGAAAACCATCCACAATCACGACGAAGCTTCTTCTTCGCCCGAACCGCAAACCGCCATGACAATGCTGACATCATCCGAGAGATTCTTTTTCGAGCCCGGGAGCTCGAATTCCATCCTCGAAGAAGCAAAGAAAACGGGCCCACGGCCCAGAAAAAGCGCGGTAATTTTGGTTATGTTAGATTCCCACGACCCGGTTAGGGATTTCCGAGCGTCGATGGAGGATATGGTGGCGGCGCGGCGCGGCGGTTGCGATTGGGAGTATCTCGAGAATCTTCTCGAGTGTTATCTAAGGGAAAACGGCGAACGAAACCACGGATACATAATCGGAGCTTTCGTCGATTTGGTTTTCCGGCTCGACTCGGGGTCGGAATCCTCCGCGGCGGCGGACGGGGAAGCTCGGCGCTCCTTCTCTTCTTCGACTCTTTCGTTTTCATCGTCGTCGGCGGGAGTTTGATATTGTTTTGAAGAGATTTGACTGATAATCAATTAATAAAAGCAAAAATGAAAAAGAGGGGAAAATTGTAGACTTATATGTGTAGCGTGGTATTCGTTGACTATTGAATTGGTTTTGGTGATAGTGAGGAAAAAAATTTGGTTGACCCCCCCAATGGCAAAGCCTAATAATCTCCATTTCTGTTGCATTTATTTTGTTTTTTGTTTTTTGTTTTAGTTTTTATTATTGTGTTATTTGATTTTGATCATCACAAATGGTGATGTATGGTTATAAAATATTTAAGTATGAAAGTGAGTAAATTTATTGAAAAAGTATCACTGTCGAACTATTAACAGTCTAACGTCGACATTAATGTTTGGTTTTGTAGTTTTGGTCTTGCATGAAACAATAGTTAAATATTGAGCAAGATTATATATATATATATATATATATATATATATATATATATACAGGAAACGGGTGCAATCCCATTCACGTAAAGCGCATCATAAGTAGGTGAGTCTAAGTGTACCTTAGTGAAGTTTCACACTATAAAAGAGTGAGCCTAAGTGCATCTTAGTGAGGTTATAATTTAAAACCAATTGGTGATGGAAGAAGTAACTCTTTAGGCTTATAAGCTAGGCTCATTTCCGTTAAAAGAGATATAGAACAATTCACATTTGATATTCTAAAAGAATTGAAAATTTGAAAAAGAAAAAAAAAATAGGTAAAAAGAATCATGAGGTGAAGTTTTTTTTTGTTGTCTTTCTTGCAGTGATTTCTGATCAACACACACTCAGACGGACTCATACGGCTCAGCTGTGTGTAATTATGTGATCGAAAGGTTAAATTCTATATAGAACCAATTTATTTTCTATCTGCAAATATTCTACTACCTTATTAAGGCGCTACAAAAGGTACGTATATACACATTTTCAGCTTTTTTTTTTTAGCCTTTCAAATGTAATCTCTGTTTTCCTTTTCGGGCCCTGCGATGATAAACATAAGGCAAGCTTGAAACAAAGCAATTTTTTCAATTTTATGTTTTCTGCAATAATAATTAATTTGATTTTGTACCTTGAATTCAAATTTTAGGAGTAACATTACATCAGTGAAAACAACAGTAGTAAAATGTTACAAAGTTTTCCTGAGTTTGTGTGGTCCTTGTCTGCAGCTGCACCTACTGCATGCTGCATTATTTTGAACCAAAATTTGAGAAAACAAATATTAAAAAATTAGTAATAATATAAATTTACTTTTAGCTTTCATATATGCATGTCCTTATTATCATATAGTTACAATTTATTATTAATATATTTTTGCATTTTAAGGATTGAACTGAAAAGAGTCCTTTCCCCCTTTACATTTTTAGTTTTTGCTTTT